GGACAACATGCCCGGCTGAGCCAAAAAAAAAAAAAAAAAAAAAAAAAAAAAAAGAATTTGGATGCGACCCTGAGGGAAAAGTTGTTCAGTTTATTGAACTTTATTCTAATATTTTTCTGCATGACATAGTTTTTTTTTCAGATTTTTTGGAATTCTATAGGCGTACCTTAATTGATAAATCGACAACTACATACATCTGCCGCATTTCATTCCGAGGAAGAGCATCGAGCCTCGCCTTCTTTCGCACAAGCAGCCATACTCTCTTGCCCCTGGATTGAATTGTCGTCTCCTCCTGCTCCTGGCTCCGAGCGACTGCTGCGTCACCTTGTTCCGGAAATGGTTTGCGAGCCTCCCAAGGAGCCACACCATTCGCATAACTCACAGCGCCCTCTGCGGCCATGTAACGTCGAAAACGCTCTGTAATTTCAGAACTTTGCACACCTTCTGGCAAAGGACTCAGGGTTAAGAGGTGGCCCGATCTCGGCTCAATCTCACACGATCCGCTGAATTCTGTAGATAAGCCTCCGTTCCTTCCGGATGCTTGTCCGCTTGATTGCAGCATACTGGATGAACCTGGTCCAGATATCGTGCTCGTACTGGATGAACCAGATGATCTGTCAGCAGCGCCTCCGGCGGTTCCTGTTTCCACGTCGTTTGGTGCTTGCATGGATCTTTGCTGAGATGGACAGGCTGGGCTACTTGATGGGAGTGGAGCAGCATTCATTGGTCCCTTCAAGTCTTCAAAGAGTGCCCCCCATCTATCCACAAAGAGGGGGTCTACCCCTCCTTTGTTTACTTTCCATTCCGATTCTGTCTTTGGGCCAACAATCGTGTCAATAACTCTTGGCATTAAGCTCTTTGGTTCGCGGTCTATTGTCACCTCAAATTCCGCATCACGGCACTGCAGGGCCAGCCACCACACACACACACACACACACACACACACACGCACAGAGAGAGAGAGAGAGAGAGAGAGAGAGAGAGAGAGAGAGAGAGAGAGAGAGAGAGAGAGAGAGAGAGAGAGAGAGAGAGAGAGAGAGAGAGAGAGAGAGAAAGAAAGAAAGAAAGGTCATTTAACAGTTGTTTAACTCAACAGGTATTCATGTCTTATGCATCTTCCGGTTCTTCGCCCTCCATCTTTCTTGATGCAATTTTAGAGCGGTATAGTGAGTGACTCTCCAAAAATACTTTGCATTTCCGAAGGATTAACTCAATCTGACTGTGGTTCGCAGTCAAGTTCAGTGCATCAGAGTCAAATTTGCGACTGGTACAAACAGTGGCTAAATTTTCACAAATATTCACTGAATTTGACTGTGATCCGCAAAACAAATGCATTTGCGACTGGCACGAACAGCTGCAGTACAGATTCTGCAGAGGGTCGAAAACATTTAAATTTTAAAGACAAAAACCCGAATAGAACACAGTCATTATCGCTGTATCTTGAGTGAAAGTTGCCCCACACACAGCTATAATGACCGTAAACGACTTTTGGCTGAGTGTCACATTAGAATTCCTCACAGAATCGGAGATCAAAAAAGAAAATAACAGAATCACACTAAGGCACCCCCCTCCCCCCCCCTTGACAGCCAACTCGCAAAAAAGAACGAGCTCGGATTTGGGGTCCTCTGGGAGAGCACAGAAACAAAAAAACAAAAACAAAAAAAAAAAGGCACCCCTGGGTGCCCGGCCGGGCAGGACCGGCCCGGTGTGAGAATCCTCCTAGCCTTATCATCCATTGTACTTAACACAGTCGTTCTTGTTCATTGTGCGGCGACATGTACCCAAACAGAACGCCCGGTCATTATCGATGTATCTGGACAGAAAGTCGCACCAAATACAGCTGTAATGACCGGGCATTGTATTCGGGTGAAGACGGTACTTTACTATCGTCCGCACTTACTTACCGTTATCACTCTCCACCAGAGAACATAGAACGCAGCTACAACCACGGTAAGCACCATCATGCACATCATCAGAACTCCTGTTGTCAAGGCACTGTCGCTCCCACCTGGTCAAAAAGGGAAAAAGACAAGCAAATAAATCAATATGATCAATATACTAAAAAAATATAGGCTTTTAAATTCTAATAACATAGTATGAAGTACTATGAACATAATAACATGCTAGCAAATTTTGTAGTAGCATTTTAGCAAACAATCAATCGAGACAATCAATCTCAACAACCAATTCTAAGGAAAAAGAAAAAAGAAAAAAGAAAAAACTTCAAAAAAGAAAAACTCAGCAACCAATTGGTTTTCACTACGCTAAATTGTTGTCCATCCCTGCCTGTAGACTGCCTATTGATGATATCATCCATCCTGTTTCATCTGGATTCCAACTCTGGTCGGTCTTGCAACGGTTGATGAGTGACGACAATTATCCCTCTGCGGTGATATCAGCAGTCTTATGACTCAGTCTGACAGCACCATTTGCTGAAATGCTACTGTTAGTCTATGATACTGTTACAACTCAGCTTTGGGACGATGAACCGTCAGACAATAGGCGGGAGTCTGGCCGGAGCAGGTGCTTCACTGTGACTGCGAGTTTCCCACGTTCTTTACCGACACGGTTGGTTAATGATGGTGTGTATTCATCCAGACTTCTGTGTATTCTTCAAGTCTGAATGGAGCAGGTGCTTAAGTAATGTTGTGTATTTCACCGTCTCAAATGCAAGTTTCTTTGCAAGCCTCGACATTGAATAACAGATATTGACAAATTGTCATAGGAACAAACTTCTGTGCATAAGAGACGGTGAATTTTATTTATTTATTTAAAATTTTAAATTATTTATTTATGTTTATTTTTTCTTGTTGTTGTTGGTGGTGGTGTAAGATTGCCCCATATATTCTGGGGGGAGGCAGTCAGGTTGCTTATCACCGGCAAGCATGATACAAAGTTAACAAACAGAAAGAGATGCAGCATCAGATAATAAGACGGTTCAGCCTCCCACCCCTGGGCGCGGCTCCTTGGTGCATGCCTACTCTCCGGGGATCTCATAGTTGCCGGGAAACCTCCCTTCGGTACCCAGGCGCACACTATGAGGACCGCCCATTGAGCTACTGCTCCCAGCCTCAGGGCCTTTCTGTTTCGTTCCCCTTCCTGCCCACTCTTCCAACTACCTTCTTCCCCCGAATACAACGTACGTTCATTACAGCTGTATTTGGGGTATCTTTCAGTCTATATACAGATATAATGACCGTACGTTGTATTCGGGGGAAGAAGGTAGCTGCCCTCTCTTGCCTTCTTGACACCCTGTACCTTCCACCCGTTCAACTGTCACAATCTACTTCTGTTACCATTTCAGCTATTCTATTTGCAATTTTGCCACCCATTATGGTTCACATTCAGGCTGCACTGCACCTCTCCTCTCTCCCCCCCCCAAAACTGCTACAATCGTACCTTTTCAACCCGATGCTCCTCCTCTCCTCCTTTTCACCGCTCCCTATCACAACACCATGCTCGTATCACACCTGTGCTGCCAATCTCCCAGCTTTAGGTTCCATGATCCCACTGCCCTAGCCTCTGCGGGCGGTCCTACCCCCTCCCCTTCCCTCCCTCCCTCCCTCTCATCCAACACGGCCCTCTACTTCCTCTACCTACTTCTAGCTGAAGTACATCGTGACCCCAAACCTATTCTTCCGCATCCACTGCGTAATTTCTGTACCATCGAGCCAAAGACCACTCCCCCAGTCGCTGGATCCTTCTTGACAAGCCTGGGATACTCCCCCCAGACCTTCCAAGAACTTGTCATTGTTTCCTGCCTTACGTTTAGACTTCTCCTGCGTGAGACGGTGAAATTGTGTGAATGTCCTTTTATAACGTTTTTTTGCTTTTCTTTTTTTTCCTGAAGAGAGACTGTGGGATGCCTCTACGCACTCCCTGATCATACATAGGATCGCATTCCCCATATTACTGGCTGAGCTGATTCCACTCGCCAAAGAAAGGTTGGAGAACGACTGCAACCACCACCCTTTGAACAGTACTTGTTGAAACGCTCCTGATACGCTGTTATGCCTCAGTTTCAGGACCACAATGCCTCAGCCGAATACGCTGCAGCAGTTCTTCTCAGTGACAACAAGTTTCATATGCTCTATAGACTCCATCTGTCCATACTGACATGGTTGGCTAATAATACAGTGTATACACTGTATAGTACTCTAGAGTCTATACTGTCTATTATTATTCTATGACAGGCATTGACAACTCGATGTTGAAATCGTTATAAGATCTATATAAGAGACTGGTAGCAATGCCTACGCACTCGATACAATCATAGGATCACGCTTCCCACGGCACTGGCTGAGCTGAATGCGATTGCAGAAGACTGCAAAATATCTGCACCCAGGACCTCCCCCGTCAACCTGAAGAAAGGGGAAGGACGGGATGCAAAAGGCTGACAAACTGCAACAGAAAAGCGTAAGCAAGCCAAAAGCAAAAAAGCAAGAACTTGACAAAAAAAAAAAAAAAAAAAAAAAAAAAAAAAAACCTAAGCAAACCAAACCCACAACATATATTAATATCAACGTAGCTAACTCAGTTGGTACACCCATGAACTGTTGAAATACAGACACGACTTCGGATCCTAATGAACCTAGAATCATGGACCTGTGAAGTTTGTCCCAACACATTTAGAATTTTGGCGTTTGGCGAGTGGTGTGGCATGCCCCATGTGCACTCTACTTTACAATTCACAAACATGCAACACACACATATTGCAAAAATGTCTTGTGGGCAGCAATATACTTCAGCATTGTCCACTTACAAGCAGTAAGAGTTGCAGCAACGGACGCCCACGTCGGAAGACCCAGCATTAGCAGCTGCATCTCTGGCCTGGGAATGGCGAAGAGTCCTCGCATTTTCATTTGCTTCTTTTGCATGTAGGCGAGCACACACATGTGGAGGGTGATCAACAGAACGGCAGCCACGGCAAACCAGAAGAGAACCTGGAAGAACTTGTCCCATCTGCAATGAGCCCAAAAGTTCACATTGCACAACATTGCGGGAGACACAGCCAGCAGAGAAGTTGGCTCCCACGCACGCCAAACGAGTCACCATCTCCACAAGCGAGAGAATCGTGTTCGTTCCCACACGCAAAACAAGTAGGCAGGCTCTTAACAGAAGTGTGAAGGCATTTCCGTAAGTGTTATCAGCCGAAGCCAGGTAATGGCACCGGTATCTCAACTTGCTATTTGTATTTTCAGGATGGGATGCTGGGCCCGGTTCCCAGCACATGCTGCTCCCCATGAATAGATTGGAGCATTGTTCCAAAAAAGAAGGAAAAAAAAAAAAAGTGTGAAGGCAATAAAGCAAGGGGATGATGGTGGAGGGCTGAAATGGAGAAGGGATCTAAATGTCTGATAAGCACAGGCTATACTCAAACACGCTCCTATCGCCCACTTTGTGGCCTTGGGTACATGTATGTATCGTACAAAGTGACAGGTGAGCCAGATCAGATAGGACAGTTAAGATGGACAAACAGGGAGGCACATCGAGCATAAAGAAAGGGTTTGCAATTGGACAGGCAAGCAGCTTGTGCAGAGGTACAAATAGAGCTCAACAGACCAACACAATGGGAAAACAAGGGGAAAAAAAACAGAGAGCGAGAGAATCCAGCAATGACCGGGCCTACTCCCATACGCCGAGAGTTCAGACAGCTGCAAGGAAGCAGCCGGCAGAAAGAGATAGGGCCATAACAAAAAGCAAATCCCACGCGCATGACAAAGGTAACTGGCGTAACGAAAATAACACAACAAAAATAAGTTAAATAACACAAGTACAAAAAAATGCACAAAAGACGACATTGAAGGGACAACACTTCGGCAACAATGGATCCTCCTCCTTTGGGACATCTGACATCTGTTAAAATTGGCGCAAACACAGAGATGATGATGATTAACTACTGTCTTCACCCGAATAGTGCGCCCGGTCATTATTGCCGTATCTGGACTACTGTTGCACCCAATACAGCTATAAGCCTATAATGACCGGGCGTTATATTCGGGTGAAGCGGGTAGTTCCTATGGTCCCTGCACAAGGATGAGAATGGAATAAACCAGAAAAGAAAAAAGAAAAAGAAAACCTTGGACCCTCTGATTCCTCTCTTTTTTTTTTTCTTTTTTCCTTCCCACTAGCTCCCTATTTACTACTAGCTTAGCAGGGGACGCTGGGGTTATGGGTTGGAAACTTGAATTCCCGGCCTCCCGATTTTTCGCCTCAGCATATCCGGTGGGCTGCTCTATGTGGGGAACAGTACCCAGGCTCCAAACACCTGGCACGAGCTGGAAAGCGGACACATGCTTCCACAACCAGCCAGGAGGGACAAGCCGACTTTCTAGGTTGGTGAACCCAAAGCGTACCACACAGGGGGTCGCACGGGGAATCGAATGGCTGCCGTGGGGAATCCAACCCACGACCTCACCTCCTGTGTACCACTTACGTGCTCAACCAACTGGGATAGGCCGCTTGGCCTCCTCTGATTCCTCGCTTTATGTTAACTTCATTTTTAATTAATAATAATAATAATAACAGAATTGAGCTTTCTGGGAAGGAGTTTCAAACTGAGGGTTTAAACTTTAAAGTTGAAACCTCAAAACTGAGCGATCATAAGAGAATGCCGTATTGATTTTCTGCGCATCACAACCCCATACCTGCACATCTTCATCATGTCTTTTTTTTTTTTTTTTTTTTTTTTTTGAACACACACACACACAGTGTCACACTAGGACCTTCTGGATGAATCTGACTGCAATTACGGCCATCTCTGGCTGTATCTGACCGCAATTACAGCCAGGTCTGAGTCCAAAAGGTCCTAGTCTGAGTATACCCTTAAACAAACAGTGGAGACATCCTCAGCTCAGCCGGTGCTTCTTTTTTTTTTTTTTCCACATGGTACGGAAAGCAAAACTTTTAACTTTTAAGTAGTGAAAGCAAATTATGGTAGCGCAAACAAACTCTGGTAGCAAAAGCAAATTATGATAGCAGCACTTTACCCTTTGTTACGGAAATCTTCCAGCTGGCTGTCACTGAAAGCTTGCACGCGGTCATTGTAGGATTGCATAAGAGACGTACTGGCATCCGACCCTGTACTGTTTGCACTCTGGCCCTGATTCTGATCACCAAGCTCATCAAGCAGATTCGGTGGGCTGTCTGATGACGGTGCAGTACCCACATCCGCGTCGTTGGGGGAGGTGATAGCCGCGTTAGACTCTGTGGCCGGGAGCAGGAAGCGAGGAGATGGATGACCAATTGTATCACTGCTCAGATGGGACATCTGGAGCATGCCGAACAACCGTCTCCCGCCAGTCCGCGCAGCGGTTCGGAGGTCCTGTGCCTGGAGAGTTGCAGTTGTCCGGGTGTTGTCCAATGTGCCGTTCTCCTTGCCAGATACCTTCATGTCACTTCTCGCCGTACGCTCCCATGGCACAGGCAGGTTAAAGTTCACCCATGCAAAACTTTCTGCCATTTGCACATACTGCGGTGGGAGATTCACGGTGAGGTCTTTTGTCATCGCAAAGATCTGAAGATGGCCCAACACACCCTGCATTTGGTGGAGCAACAACCAGGATAAGTAAGTAGAAGAAAACCATGGGTGAAGCAATCCCGATCACCCCAAGCGACCAGCCCATGAGGGATGAACCAAAAGGCAGGCTACAGTGACATGCTGCAGCGCGCCTGGCCCAGATTCTAGCGGAGGATTCATTCCGATATTGCTCGTCTTGACGAACAAGGAGGGTGAATGTACACAATGTTGATGAACTCAAATGAACAGAGCATGAGTTCCAACTTTAAAATTTAAATCCAGGCGTTTTTATTTTATTTTTTTTAAGAAAAAAGGCTCCGTTAAAATTGGAACGATACAATGAAATCTTTGAGAAGGCATGAGAGGAATTGGCAATGTGGAAATGGTGGGATTTGAAAAGGCTACAAATAAGAGCCAGAATGTGCGAATATGAACTCAGCGATTCAATGACTAAGCACTTCTTTGCCCGAATCAAGGCCAACTCAAGAGCTAATACGATTGAAGACCTCAGATCTATTACAGCCCCAGAGATTCTGAGAACGGACAGTGAAGGAATGCTAGAGATAGCAAAGGATTTCTACAAAAATCTCTACCAGTCTAAAACCCCTACACCAATAGCACCCAGCACAAAAGAAGCGAGGAGAAAAATGCTCCAGTACCTGGAGCAGATGATAACAACTGAACAAGCGGAAGAACTAGACAAACCTATCACAACCGAAGAATCGCACCAAGCCCTAACAGGAATGAATAATGGCAAGAGACCAGGGATAGATGGATTGACGAAAGAGTTCTGGGAGAAATTCTGGCCCCTTGTTGAACTATTACAACGATTGCTGGACCAGAGGGGGACTAGGGAACTTACTCAGCAGCAGCGTGGTCACACTATTGTATAAAAAGGGCGACAAAGCAGACATTAAAAATTATAGACCAATCTCACTGCTAACACTCCCATATAAAGTTCTAGCGAAGACCCTTTCCAACCGGATCACCAAAATAACAAACAAATGCTTTCACATTGACCAGACAGGTTTCATCCCGGGTCGATACATTCTAGACAACGTGCTAACATTGAACAAGGTGGTAAGGAAGAGTAGGGAAAGAAGAATAAATACAGCCATATTGTTCTTTGATATTGAAAAAGCTTATGACCAAGTGAATTGGGATTTCATGGAAGCAAGTATGGAGAAAATGGGTGTAGGACCGAACTTCAAGAAATGGGTTCGCATACTTTACAGAGATGCAATCGGCTGTGTCCAAGTCAACGGACTGTTATCAGATCGGTAACCAATATCCTGCTCAGTCCGACAAGGAGACCCGCTGGCCCCGTCGATCTTTCTGTTTGTAATGGAGGCCATTGCATCATTTCTGCGCAAAGACCCATCGATCCACAGACTCCCTGTCCTCAACGGAGGCTCGGCTCACCGAATGGATTTCCCGACAGCTATCATGTTTGCAGACGACCTAACCGTGCTAATCAGAGCATCAGACTCATCCTTTAGGACATTGGCTAAGGCAATTGAAGCCTTCAGGCTGGGCTCTGAAATGAAGATTAACTGGGGGAAAACAATCGGTTGGTGGCTATCAGATGAGGAACCCCTCCAACTGCAGGGGGAGGAAGCAGCCATGACTTGGGAAAGGCCAGATGTACCCACCCGATACCTGGGTATACTTATGACAAAGGAGGGCCAGGCACCCCAAATGGGCCAAAACATATTGGCCAAACAAATCAACAAAATGGGAAGATGGGGTAATGTCTTCACCTCCCTTATCGGTAGAGCCCTGGCCATTAACACATTGGTCTTCTCAATGATGTGGTACATAGCATCCATCTGGACTGTTCCGGATAGCTCTCTCAAAGAGCTGAATCGAAAAGCCAGATCCTATCTCTGGTCAGGAGGCCCTAACAAAGAAAATGGCATACCCAAGATTGCCTGGCATTATGTCACAAGAAGTCCGCAGAGGGGAGGTCTAGGAATTATAGACCCTGGAACAGAGACGGAAGCCCTACAGACCAAATGGATTATTAAACTCCTGATGAATCCTGACACCGCATGGAATAAACTAGCCTTGGATAGTATCAGAGCCTTGGCCCCGGTACCTTCGCCAGAAGACATGTCAGGGCTGTTCTGGGTAATGAATATGGAATGGGTTATAACTACAGGGCGAAGGAATCGAAGGAGGGATGAAGGACTAGAGGGTTACAGGCCTCCTACTCCATACTGGTCAGCGCTACTACGAATTTGGAGAAGAATAATGCCTAGCAAATCTAATAGACCTAGATCCAAGGATGAAGTACTCAGACAGCCACTCTTCGGGAATCCATGGGTAACAAGTGAGAATGACAATCCCCTCCCCCTGGAACACAGATGGCTCTCCCGGGTCAAAAACGGCATATGGAAAGTCGCCCACCTGTGGAATGAGGAGAAAAAAGAATGGAAGACGGAACAAGAGATCAGCTCCCAACTGAAAGGATGCCATAAACGAGAACCTAATCTCCAATATATCCTCAATCTTATCCCACAAGAATGGAAGGCCATATTGACTGAAGCTGCACCTTGGAAACCCGGAGAGTGGGGGCTTCTGGTACAAGAAACGACTCCTTCCAGAGCCTTTCAGTTCTCTCACATGCAACAAAACTCGGCCACTAAGGCTGCCTTCCTCTCTTTTCCGGTTTCCTGGTCCGCTACCAGCATGCCGGCCATCGTCAACAGCGGAGTAGAATCAGAAGTCATAGACTTCTTCCTACTTAGAAAGGTGAGAGTCCTTGGTTCCTGGCCAAAATTAATCTTCAGACCTGACACAGCGATTCATAACTTGGAGTTTGACCCAGCCGAGTGGGCGTGGACGCCTGATAAAACTAAGAACATCAAATCCAAAATCCCAATCCATGAATATACAGTCAAACTGGGATACAGATTGTTGCTCAGAACCAAAGACCCTGACCCCATCATCAAGAAAAGAGGGCAGACTATATTGGGACAGGGGGCAGACAAACTTACTCAGATCCAGTAGAAGAAATTCAAGTCTATCAGACCAATTAAAATTAGAAGCCTTCAATGGCTAATCGCCTATGCGGCACTACCGGTAAACCAATGGCTGCACATTAGACGAAAGGGTTCAGACCCCAATAGTTCCGATCAGTGCGCGGTCTGCACAGAAGTAGTGGTAGAGGATATAGTACACTGTCTACTACACTGTAGGGAGGCAACCGACTATTGGGCAAGAGCCTCGGCACTATGGGACTCCCTATTCCCGACCCCTTTCCCTGAACAACCCATCCAACTTCTCCTCCTGACTAACATTCCTGAGCAGTTCCAGAAGGCAGAAAGAATTTGGTTCGGAATCATAAGGAAGGTGACGCTATGGATCATATGGAAGGAAAGATGCAGAAGGACGATTGAAGGAGTGGCCAATTCACGTGAGAAGGTTTGGGCCGAGACAAAAACGATGATACAAGCTGAAATCCTCTGCAAATAGCGGAGGATCAAACAATCATGGACAGAGGATGAGGACCAACAAAAGAAGGCGAGACTGAGCTTCAGCAGAACTTGGCTGGTAAATGGCAAAGTGGCGGACCTAAGAGAAGACCGCATCTGTTGGAAAGACTGGCACGACTCAAATCCAGGGAGGGGCTACCAGCAACAAACAACGGTGGGCGGGTAAAACACACGCTGACCAAACTGCCACAAGGGAGACCAATGGCTGCAGCAACGGAGAGACAGTTCAGAGAGGAACGAAAGTGGTTCACGACATACTGAAGGGAAAAAGAAAAAAAAGAAAAAAAAAGGCACCGTGAGTTGACAGGCTAAGTTGCTTCAGGGGACTTTAAGAAATGCTAGGAAAGGATTTGGAGTTTATGTTTCTGAAAAATAAAAATTATATTTGAGGGTTTAGGGTTTAGGGTTTGGAGTCTTTGGACAGAATTAGGGCTAACAGAGTTCAGAATAGCAGAGTTTTAATGTGGTTCACATGTGGGATTTACAGTTTAGACAAAATTGGCAGCTTTGGCAGCATCTAGGACCTTTCTCGTTAGTCATGCTTTATACGACAGGTTTTCGCAGTAGACCTGAGAGGAAAGGATGAAGCAGGGCAAGCTGACAGTCAATCCTCCACGATGTTGGAGCAATCAATGCTGGTCAGGGGTCCTTCAGCCAGACGGAAGGAAGCATGGGTGAGTACTTGTGATGTATCCTGTTATTCTGACTTGCCGGTGGAATAGGAACCGGACTGATGCTCGCCAGAATGGAAAGGAGCCAGGACCATAAGGGCCTGTTTTAATTATAAAAATAAAAAATAAAAATAAAAATAAAAATTAAATTGGAACGATACAGAGAAGAGTAGCATGGCCCCTGGGGCCTGGAACCATTAGGCGAGGTATTCTACCACTCCGTTTAGGATTTCGATCACGTGTGGCCTCGAGTGACGCAGTACGGCCGTCGAAGACATCGGATCTCGACGGCCTGGTAGTTTCCTAGTGGGGACTGTAAAGATGCCCACCTCCCATCCAGTGAGATGCGTCGAAAAACAAAAAAAAACAAATTTGGACATGATAGCTCGTGGCTTTGAGTTTATGGACTCGAAAGGGGGGGGGTTGATTTCCAGACTCCGTTTTTTTTTTTGCCTCTGAGAAATCAAACTTGAAATGTGAAATCCAAATATTGTGGTGGATCTGACAGAAACACTTCCGCGTCTGTCAGATGGCCTGCTAGAGGCATCATGAGATACATGGTGATGAATGTATCCCCATACCCGTTACTTGTTCATCCTCGCGGCTGTGTTCGTGGACACATTTTATTGCCACCGTACATCACTATGAAGACTTATGTGAAGGAGATCATACCAACCCATGAATTCGGATGCACAGCTGTTCTTCTTTGTTTTATGTGCCATTTCAATTCATTTTAAATCAGAAAACGATCCATTCATGCAAATAAAAAATAACTTTGTCTTTTCCAGAAATCCATAAAATTGCGTGACACATTGTAGAATACTTCGCTAGTGGGTTCAGGCCCCTGCACAAGAAGAGAAAGGCAAAAAAAAAAAGGCAAAAAAAAAGACTCCGTGTCCTTCAGGATATCCGTTAAAATTGGAACGATCCAGAGAAGATTAGCATGGGCCCCTGCGCATGGATGACACACATAAATCGAGAAATGGTCGAAATTCTTGGGGAAAAAAAAAAAAAGGCTGCATTCCATTGGTGGGGAGCTGCACCTGGTGGAAATCGGGGGGCAGTGTCCCTTATACAACACAGCACAAAAGATTTACGGGGAGCACTACCCATCTTCGCTTAGTATGAACTCTGCTGCAGCCAGACCTCTCAGCCCTGAGGCCGTCTGATCTACTCTAACCCTACCCCAGCTGTGCCTTTCACGCCCCATAACAGAGACGACTTCTGAACCCCAACCCAACTGGGGAATGAAATCTGCTACCCATGGCAGGTACTTTTACTCTAACCCTTTTCGTTGTTCCCTCCAGATGGACCCTGCCTTCCCTGTCTGACCCCTTTTGAATTTGAAGTTTAAACCCTGAACCCTACCGTCTTCACCCGAATAGAACGCCAGGTCATTATAGCCGTATTTGGTGCACTTTTCAGTCCAGATACAGCTATAATAACCGGGCCTTCTATTCGGGTGAAGACGGTAGTTTCGACCCATTAAGCTTAGGAAGTTAAAAGGTCGTTTCTGCTCCTGTAGTCCGCCATTTCCGATGGAGATGATTGCCCATCAGATGTGCCAGCTTCCCTTGGCCCAGTACATTCCGGGAAAAGTTCTCTAAAAATGGATACGGATGCAATAATGTTACTCCTGTCACAGTCCTGTTCACCACCAAACCAAAAAAGAAAACACTGAAAAAACAAAGTCCCCCTCCCCAAAATGCTACAAATTTACAAAAACATTGCTGCTGAGTTCTGAGTCTTCTGACACAATGAACAAAATCCTACCATAACGAAGAACGAAGTCCCTTTTGAAATTGGAACCACTAATGTAGGATATCCTTCCTAAGTGGATTCATGTATTAAATCACGCCGCCATACAAACATGGTACCATGCAAAATCATTCCGCCCTTTTTTTTTCTTTTTTTTTTTAACATCCGCCGGGTATGCTCGGGTTTCGGTATGGAATTCAAGATACTGCAAGAGCCTCAGGAAAATCTGAAACGACAGAAACACGAAGGCAGCCTGCGGGGCGCAGAGTTAAACCACCAGTACTTGGCCCATACATCCTCTGCGGGGCGCAGAGTTAAACCACCAGTACTTGGCCCATACATCGGCTGCGGGGCGTTGTCGTTCACGCCCCACAACTTCCGGAGGCTTAGGGTACCGGACCTTAAAGGCTGGTGCCGCCAGCCAAAACAATTTTTTTTTGTTGCGCTAGCGGGTTGGCGCGAAACGGCGCGCAGCCCCTTTTCAGGCTCGGCATCGATAGCTGGGCCAAGTACAGGTGGTTTAAGAGGTACAACGTTAAATTCGTCGTTAATGGAGATTGAGGCCGAAATAATTTCAAATAAACAATCATGTTATCACATTCCCTTTCCCAGAGTGACTAAGCCAAACGAAAACGTGCGACCGCAGATAGACGTAATGATTGAGAATCGGAGTACTCTCAGGGCCTCAACACTTCCCACCTCCCCAGCCCCCCACCCCCCCACCCAAAAAAAATTGGGGGCACGGGGGGGGGGTCTGCAAGCAGGAGACTCTGAAGCTACTAAGCATTTGCGGCTTCTCTCCGTTCAGGCGTCTCTGCGATCGCCGGCGATGTTGGAGCCGGCAGCCACAGTTAACGTTTGAAGACAGATTCTGTATAATTGTGGACATTCTAGTCATTGAAGATCAACTAGGATGCCCTGTTTCAACTATTGAACAACCTATAGAGTAGTATAGACCGAGTTGGCTCAAGGTTTGACCTACACACACCAACGAACCATGTTGGAGGCCGGAAGTCGGCAGTGTGTGCACTTTGTCACCCCAACTCTGCAGGCGGAATTCTATACCACTTGTGTGTTTACTTCAGAGCTTTTGTGTGTGCACTACAGATACCTTGAGTGGATTTTCAAAGACAGACTGCATGATCTATTTATAAACAGATTACGCACGCAGTGTACAACCTTTTTTTTTTTTCTTTTTTTTTTGCATGATCTATTTATAAACAGATAACGCACGCAGTGTACAATCTACTGCGTAGTACAGAGCTTTTGTCAATAGATCTGTAGAGGGAAAACAGGAAAACAGTGAAAACACTTCTTTTCCGTGGAAGGGCTTTGTAAATAGATCTAGGGGGGGCCGTTAGTCTGTACTCGTGTTCTCAGATAAACAGCTGCGCAGTAGTGCGTACTCTACATTTGGAATGTGCATCTCTATCCTATTCCTACCCCATGTCCAACCTGGGTCTTCCGATTGAGAAGATGAGCCCAGAAAGGAATACCTCTGGGGACTTTTTTTTTTTTTTTCCGAGGAATGCCTCTGGCCAATCTGATGTCTTCTTATGTAGAACATTTGGCCAAACGTTATGACCCTGGCTGCGAGCATGGACCTCCTACGAAGAATTTTGGCCCAGTCCCTGATGCTCGGAACCACCCTCCAAATGCGGCAAAACCACCTACCTCTCTCTCTAGATGGCTAGACATGTAACACTACTAAGAGACTGACCATAGGGACTAGACCTTTTTTTTTTTTTTTTTTTTTTTTTTTTTTTTTTTTTTTTTTTT